CCTGGACGCGAGCGGGGGCTGGACCCACGCAGGGGCCGCCCCGAGGACGTCCTTTCAACACGCGTCATCCCCGGCGGGCCGATGCGTGCCGACCCCCCGCTTGGGGATCTGGGGGGCGCTGGAAGCAGAGCTCAGCTGCGTGGAGGAGGGACCGAGCTGCATCCGCCGAGGGGTGCTTTTCGGCCAGCCCCTGCGCGGCGCTGGGGGGCGGGGGAGGCTGGGTGCCCCCCCCGGGGCCTGGCCGGTCATTCCTGGCCTTGGCCTTGCTGGGAAGCGCTTCCCGGAGCCGGCTTCTGTAGGCCAAGGAGGAGCCCTCAGGTGAAGCTGTGGCCAGATGTGGAAGCTGACCGGAGAAAGAGGCTGGGGGAAATCTGGGCTGGAAATGGACCTGGCGCTTCTGCGTGGACATCCAGTTTGCGGATGGGCAACTGCGAAATATTGGAGGGGGCAGCGGGGGCCAAGCCCATGAATGAAGAATGCATCTGGGCTAGGCAGGCCCCGGATTGGGGGAGATGGTGTCTGGGGGGTGCTGTTTCCTTCTAAACAGCTGATTTGGAGAGCGTGAAACTTTGGTGGTGGGCTTTTTGGGGCCAGTTGTTTCCAGCGGGCAGCATCTGACCTGCTGGGTTCATTCTTCACCCGTTCCTGAAGGGACTGCCTTGGACAGCACTGACCTTCAGCCGTGGGCCTCTGCGCCAGCGCTGGGTCCTGGCCAGAGTTCGTGAGGCTCCCGGAATGGGCTGGTTGCTAGTAGGCAAAAGGCTGTGCCACCCCCACCCCATTTCCAGAAACATCACAGACTGCAGAAAAATCAGCACAGGTCCCTATTTTGTACACGACAGAAACTTTAATCTCATGACTGTGTAAACCTGAACTGGGGCTGTGCAAGTTTCAGCTGGCGAGTCTTCCTTGCAGCTGGAGGATCTGTGGTGAGTTCGTAACCATAATTAGCCCCAAAGAAGCCGCAGCTCTGATGAAAGATCATTCTGGGTCAGTGTTTCTCCACCTTGGCAACTTGAAGATGGGTGGACTTCAACTCCCAGAATTCCCCAGCCAGCCTTG